AGGCAAGGCAAATCCAAATGCAAAATTAGAACATAATTCTTGTAGCACAAGTATTAATAAGGTGAATTTGTGAACATGTCATAATTGTATTACTGTAGGACGTCTACTTTGATAATTTCAAAGAAGATAAAGCATAAAGAAACTTGAGCTTGATCAAATACTGGAACAGTGTTGAGAAGAGGTGGTGAAGTCTCCATCCTTGCAGATACTCCAAACTCAGCCAGATGTGGCCCTTACCCACCTGTTCTGGTTGGCCTGGCACTGAGCACTGGTTAGCCTGGCACTGAGCACTGTGTGACCTTCAGAGTTGTCTCCAACTAAAGTCATTCTAGTAACCTGCCAGAGATGCTACCTATGCCAGCAGGCATCTGCTGTTTTGTCACTTTTGTGGTCTCAGATAATATTTCATTATATAACTTTCCTTTTACTGAGGCAAAGTATTAATTTGGGTATGGAGAATAATCTAACAGCAGTTTTATTATTTTTAAAATAGGAAGATGGCTCAGAGGTTGGTGTAGGAGGTGCCCAAGTAACTGGCTCAAATACACGGAAGCACATATTGCAAGTCTCCACTTTCCAGATGACAATATTAATGCTCTTTAACAACAGAGAAAAATATACGTTTGAGGTAAGAATTGTGTTTTTCCTCCCATGATTTTTAAATAACTGGTAATTTCATTCTTGGAAAAAAAATATTTGCATTGTTCTAGGCTTTCTTACCTATTTAAATAGCCCTTGAAAAGCGGGTGCCTCCAATCCTATTGGAACAGGAATCAGGCCAGTAAACACAGGAAGCAGACGATGCATCTGATGGGCAATCCTAGAGAAGGCAATTCTTTGGGAATAGGAGCTTTTTGGAAAGTAGAAGAGGGTTGTAAGTGTAGTTATTAGTAGGCCATGGGTCTGTATAAAAGCTGAAGTTAGAAGGTAGTAAATGGGTCAATTTGCTCATTTCATATTTGAGAAACTGGCTCAGGGGTGAAAAAAGGTTTGTATCCTGGCTTCTGGCAGACCAAAGTGCTTCACTTAGCAGGCTAGGGTAAGCAACCAAAGAACCAAAGGGCCTTCTTTACTTTTCTAAGCTAGTGAGCCAGAAGGACAGTGAAGACAAAGTCCAGATAGATTCCTGATGGGAAGAACGAAGTAGACTTTCTGGAAGACTGAAGGCGCCAGGTGATAAGAGATGCTGACGGAGGCTTTGGGAGCGGAGGATGTATACTAGTGACTGAAGTGGAAAGCTGCAGTGTGAAATACCCTGGGGTTGGGATAAGGACCTTTAGCAGCAGAGACCTCAAATTCCCTTTTAGCTATTCATTATGCTTTCACCAGCAGCTGGGTGGATATGTTTACTTACAGAAAATGTGAGAATGAATTTATTTGTAGAAAACAAGATAATTTTGAATGGATTAATGCTTAGGCATTAAAAATCTGCTTCTTACAGGTAATATGCTAGCTTTTACCTAGATTTGGTGTGTAGCCTCAAGGTTTTACATTTAAGCAAGTTCTAAAATGCAGTGGGAGGGCTTGATGCTACTTGAAGCATAAGATAGGAAAGCCAGCAGCCCGGCAGTTCTCACAGTTGGGCTGATATCTGGGAAATTTTTCTCTTCAAGCAATTCAATCCCCAGCTACTAGAGGTGCCTCAGGAATATGAATGGGAATGTGAGAGATGTTGCAGTTTACTCAAACTATCGAAGGGGAAAAAGCACACTGTAATTGTCACAGTGTAATATTTTATGTTCACTTGTAGATGTCCAAGCCAAGAGGCAAAGTAGGGTAAGACTGTAAATAGATTGTTTCAGGGTATTTGAAGAGGAGGTGTAACTTGATCAAGAGTGTTTGTATGTTTTGGTGAAATTAAACCTTGGTTGCTTTCATTTGTAAAGATCTTGTATTCATTAGTGCTGCTGAATACAAAAACACTCAAATAGGTCTTCATCAGGAATGCACATGAACATCATGTATAAAATGAATTCTGACTTTTTAAATCACAAAAAAGTTGTACAAAAATCTATTTTGCTAGCTTGAAGACTCTCTTTTTAAACAGTGCTATTGTTTGTAAAGGATGGTAGGTATTTTTGCAATAGCCATAAACTGATGAAGAAATATTTCTCCAGGAAATTCAGCAAGAAACTGATATCCCTGAAAGAGAACTGGTTAGAGCCCTACAGTCCCTTGCGTGTGGCAAACCAACACAGCGTGTTCTCACGAAAGAGCCGAAATCAAAAGAAATAGAAAATGGTCATATATTTACAGTGAATGACCAGTTCACATCTAAACTACACAGAGTCAAGATTCAGACGGGTAAGTGGATTTTGATATTCTACTGTCTTGGAGCCCCTAAAGTACCTTGCAATGTTAAATTACCTTCTGCAGGATTGATGCTTGTACAAGTAAAAGAAAGAGTAATATTATTTTTTGGTGTCTGTTGTATCAATATGAAAATTTAAAGTACTGAGGCAAATGTACAAGCCAAGTCAGTTAAGTTTTTTCAAAATTTCTAGTTGTCTCTTAAAAAGAAATGCTAAAACATATGAAGTTAAAAATATATAGTAAAAAATTAAATAATAAAAAAGTAAATAGTAAAAATTAAAGTCAAAACTACTGTCTGATTCAGGGAAAAAAAAAAAAGCCTCGTGAATTTGTAAGGTGTTGTACTTATGCAAAAGTATCAGGTGATGTTTTTATCACATGACATAATGGTGCTCCTTTCCAGTGCCAGGTAGCTATAATATCTTTAGGTAATGATTGCAGTGAAGCTTTACAAGTGCGAAAAGCTAATAAGTGTGATAGTGCTTAAGTAGCTTGTAGAAGTGCTGACTGTTGAAATACATAAGCAGTGTTGATGGCCTTTGTCCAGAAAGGCCTCTGGGTGATTAATTTCTGACTTGCAGCATTGCTGTGTTTCACAGACAGTGTCCTGGATGATTAGTTTTTAATGGATTTAAAAATACCTTCTCTTTCACAAATCTCAGTACACAAAACACAAAGCATTACTGGCAAAATTGAGATACATTTTAAATGCAGTAGCAGTAATTCACATATTCTGTGTAATATAATTTGTTAGACTTCTATGCAACAGCTTGATACTTGTGTTTTTGCCTTTCTTTCTGCCACAGAAGACTTTTCTGTTTAAAATCCATAAATATTTGGGGCTTCTGAGGGAGGAAGGGCTAGGGACAAGTGGTAGCAGTGTGAGAGAAGGGACTGGTTACAGTGCTGCTGGTAAGAAAGGCTAGATGTGGGAGCAGAAGTGAGGCAGAAATAAGAGCAGAGTACAAAGGAGAATAGACTTGAATGGGAGAGGATAGAAAAAGTGGACTAACGAACTTCTAAACTAACTTGTTTGTGAAGTAAATTTTGAATCAGATCAGAATTGAATCCTGCTCTTTTGTCCAGTTACAATTGTATTAGATACCGAAAAAGAATCACAATACTGAATTTCATTGTAGTATTAACAATATTTAGAGGTGTACTATTTTCCCTTATTTTTCTCCAGCAAAATGCTATGGATAATTCATAAAAATATGTTAGCAAATTATTCACTGTATTAAAGAGTAAAAATATTTAGAGGCAAGAGAGGGAGGTTGGGGCTATAACCAGATTTGAGTACTGTTCAGGTTTTAACACAGCAATGTTTAAATAACAGATTGTTACTTTGTCAGTTGCTATCAAAATATTGCCGAAAGTGTTAATATGTTCTTGTGGCTGCTTTTCATTTTAAAAAAAATCAAGCATCAAAACCCAGAAGAACATACAATTTGACTTACGAAATTAAGTAATGAATCTAACAGAGAGACACAGAAAATAGTTTTAATTTTGCTAGGTGTTTTACTCTCTCTTTTTTTTCTTTCAAGTTGCTGCCAAACAAGGAGAATCTGATCCAGAAAGGAAAGAAACAAGGCAGAAAGTAGATGATGACAGAAAACATGAGATAGAAGCTGCTATAGTTCGGATAATGAAATCTAGAAAGAAGATGCAGCACAATGTGCTAGTAGCAGAGGTATGTCTGCATGTGCGTTTGATATGGGTTTGGGGGATGCTTTTTGTTCTTATTTTAATTTACATCATTCTGAAAGGCTTTTGGGAGATGCTTTATTTGATGCATGCTTTTTCTCATGCAGATATTTAGATAAAAATATCTTAATCTGTTAGGATAAATCAGCTTAGGACATGCTCAGGTGTGTATGTGCTTTCCCTTATTCCCTTTAGTGCTTTTTCTGATGTCATCAAATTTCTTCAATTGGCATCCCACAATGAAAAACACTACCCGTAATATTGATTGTTTTCTGCCCTGAACTTCTTGTTGACTGTTTGATCCCAGTTTGAAAATTTGAGTTATGAGAGAGAGCAGGAGTGAGGGAGAAGGAGCTGGAAATGGCAGGAAAGGGAGCAAGGGAGAAGCTCCTGCTCTCAGCTCGAGATTTTTCAGGCATTTTCCACCATTTTCCAGGCTTGAACTTCCTGGGGGTTATGAATTTGAGAGGATTATGAGATTGTGGCTACAAATCTCCAGGGGCTTGTACTTTGAATCAGACCCAAAATAGAGCAAGCAGCTGATGTAAGAAACTGGCAGAATTTTGCAGGCTGCTTTTATGCTTCATGATGGTAGCTGGGCCCATACATTTTCCCTGATTAGTTTGGTCAGCTGTGATACCTTGTGATCTTATTTGACCTGCAGTTTTTGATCTTGTGTTTTAGGTAACTCAGCAGCTGAAGGCCCGATTCTTACCAAGTCCAGTTGTTATTAAAAAACGTATTGAAGGACTTATCGAGAGAGAATACTTGGCACGAACACCTGAGGATCGCAAAGTATACACTTACGTAGCATAAAATGCATTCAGAAAATTTGATTTATTCTTGGACTATACTCTTCGCATGAACTGGGAAGTTCTTTTAAATCATTAATATTAAAGACGACCATCTCTTCTATTAAATTACAATACATGTTCTAGACCATTCAGATCAAGCCTTTTACTCCTTTTGAGAGTTTTCAACATCAATTGATTCAGCTTCAGGCTTTTCAACGTTATCCCTGTAGAGATCATCCTTACAATTCTTCGGGAAAATGTGAATGTGCCGCGTTTGTTTTCAATACTGTATGAAAACAGAAAAATAAAAACAAATTTAGAAAATACACCTCATTGAAAAATAAAATTGTTGGAATTTCATTTCCCCAGATCTTCAGTGTTGATGTAAATGTGTTTCTGTAGTGTTGCTTAGCACTTCGCGCATTGTATAAGTTGGGTTTAAAAGAAACCACAACTGGTAAGACAAAATTCCCAGTTATATTGCTCTGCTTCCGATGTTTCTTTAACTAGACATGTTTAATTTAAATATTTGGTAATCTTACGAAGACCCAAAAATACTTTAGCATGTTTCACTCTTCCAGCTGCTCTCACTGTTGTTCCAACAATATGAATCAGGAACTTTTTGGGGCTCAGAAAAGACCATAATAATTTTGGCTTTCCCTTCTGTAATTTGAGTTCTTCTAAATTAAACTCTATATTGATTAGGTTTGTTCTGGTTTCTTTATAGGAAAAAGGAAAGATTTTAGTGTGTATAAACTGTATAATAATTTTTGCTGTTGTACTCACTGCTGATAGTGGATTGTACAGGGCGATGTTTTTATTTCACTAAATGTAGACAAAATAAATTTAAAATAAATGGATTTAGTGTACACAAACAACTAATTCAAGTGTGGTTAGAGTACAGGGATGACAATCTTTGGAACTAAATACCATCCCCTGGGGCAGCGTCCTGGGATTACATTTTGTCAGTAAACATCCTAATGGGTCTATGACCAGCGGGTTTCCCCCTTCATAGGCATGTGCTTCAGGAGATTAAAGTGAAGCCAGGGTGCACTATTTTTTTTTTAAATACAATCTAAATATGCCATAAAGTTGTTGCTGTAATGAAATTTTCAGTTCTTTACAGCAGATTTTTTTCCCTCTTGTCGGTATGGTAAAAAATTGATGAAAAATTGCAGTCCAATGGCATCATTATTCTGATGGCTAGAATTTGTTTGAAGTGTGCATTGTATTGCAGAGTTTTTATTCAGCTGTGTTTTTGACACTGCAAGAAGCATAGTACACAGTTTCCTGTTTTACTGTTTTAATTCAATGGAATATTGTTTTGGGGTTTTTTTTTGTTTGTTTCTTTTTTTCTTGCCTCACATTTTTCATCCATAGATACTGGAAAAATGCTCTTGGGGTGGGCTTTCCAAAATCTAGAGGTAAAGTTGAAACAAAAATTGCTTGTAGAGCATTAAGATAGTGCCAGAGCATTTCTTAATTAACTGCATTAAGTGAATATGTGTTCACCACGGCCATTGATTTTAGTAAGAGTATTTCTGATAGTATGTCCCATTTTCCCATTCTCTCCTGCCTGTTGGGATGCAAAGATGGATATTATTTTTCAGTAGTAGCGTATTTCTGCAAAAAGGAATGACTTGAATGACAATAATATTTTAGCTCAAGTATTCTGAATGTTGTCACATATCCCCAATTTTAAAGGCTTTTTCTTCAGTTTACTACATGAAATAAAATAAAAGGAATCCCTTCCTCTATCCTCCCCAATCACACAAATATTTAATTTTAAAGTAATCAGAGTGGAGGGGGACCTCGTGTCCAAACAGTGTTGGTCAGGAGTTAACTGAAGTTAAGCTATCAGCTCTGCTAAAAATATATTTGCTGGTAGTTACTAAAATGCCTGCATGTCTGCGTGTGTGCATTATATGCAAAGTATTGGTCGATAATGCTGTTCACTGTTTTCCAGTACATAGTGCAAATACTAAATACAGGGTTGTAGCAGGGTCTGGTTTTAGGTTGTATTTTCAACTAGCAGAAGAGTCTTCAGTGAAATGCAAGTTGCTCTTCCAGGTATCAGTTTGAATGCTTTGTTTCTTGCCTGTCTCTTTTTTTGAAGAGCATTGACGTGATGTTGGGCGCATGCGAGTGCTTTGCGGGGTGCTTTTCGGGGGGAACGTCCTGCCGTCCTTCCGCGTGTGAAGAGCGCGTGGCCAGCGGGGCTCTGCGAGCCGCGTGGGCACGGCTTCCATAAAGGGGTGGTGGGTGCTGATGGCTGTTTGCAGTAACAAGTATCGGTATGTGATTCCACCTCAAGAGAATTTTGAAGACACTAATTATTCTGGCAGGGACTTTTCCTGAGCATGACATTTACCACCGAACTAGCAGATCATGATGCCAAGTATTTCAAATGAACATGAAAGCTCCGACCAAGGAGAACTAGACATCACTACAACTGTTTAAGGTGAGTTTGATGCTTGTGTCCTCAAGTTCTCTAGATGAGTGAGATTTCTGCTGCAGTCTGTAGGTATGTTGTTCCTTATCTAATTTCAGTTCTGTTCTTCCCTTCAAAATGTGCACTTAGAACTTTTAAAATAATTTTGTTAAAGTTTCATCACCAGGGTTACACAGTTGCATGTATTTGTGTAATTAACACTTTGTTTTCTCTGCATGAATATATAGTTCTATGCCATAACAACAAACAATTCTTTAAAAGATTTAAAATAAAAAATAGCTTTGGAGTTTCAATAGCTGTCAGAAGATACATAGGCATGTACTTTTCTTGCAGATAAGTGCTAAGAAACTCAGGACTGAAATGTTTCTCCCCTCTGCTTTTCGTAGGGACAAACTGCTCTGACAACCCTGGAGCTTGCAGTGCAGCTTGCTGTCTGTGCCCCTTACCTTTGGCCAGGGAGAGGTTGACAACTGGCATAAAAACACTTTTTTGGAAATAGGTTAGTGTATTCCCGTTGGCTGAAATGTTTTTATTCAGTATGTGCTAAGCGACATATACATGAGATGGAGCCTGTCATGATAAGTCTTTTGGGGATAACCTTGTACCAAGAAAGGCTCCCATTTTGTAAAACAAAACCTGCAAAAGCTGGGGCAGTTTATGATCCCTAGTCATGTGTCTGGTGCTGACCAGAAGGTTTACAGCTTGAACTAACATTCCTGAGCTGTTCTGTGCCGTGACAGTCAGATGGCGGATGGGAATTTGGCAGTCCAGAATCGGGCTCTGGAGAGCTGGTATGGGACGTCGTTGTGTTCAAAGAGCACAAGTGCTGAGGATCCCTCCAGTCTCACAGCTTCACTATTCACCCTCTCCAAACCATACGTTGCTGTAGTCCATTTAATTTGTATGCTGTGTCTCCAAAGGCTGGCGCCGGTGCTGGTGCGGAGCGGTCGGGAGCTGCAGCTGGAATGCAGGTGCCGGGTTCTCCTGGAAGGCGGGTGTGAGCAGCACAGCTGGGTGCCCCTGCACGGAGATGAAGGTCCCGGGCTGTCCTCGGAGCGCGGCCCGTCTGCGGCGGGCGCGGGACACGCGCGCACACGGAACCGGTGGAGGCTCCGTGACGGGCACGAGCGGGAGCTGGTGCTCGGCGCTGCCGCAGCTTTGGCGAATCGCAGGCGGTGGGTAGCGAGGTGGGCCGTGCTGCCTGGGTCCTGCTGGCCTGGGTGACTCCCCAGCAGAAACGAGTTTTGGAGCTGCTGCTTTTAGCCAAGGAGTCTGGCAGAACTAACCAGACGGGCGTGCCTTGTGCATGCAGGGTTGTGACGGTGACGGGGCCGAGCACCAGCGAGGCCTTGGCGGCTGGTGGCTCCGCCTGCGAGCGGGTCCGCAGCGCGTGCCCAGTGCCCATCGCAGCCGCGTGGAGCCGCTGCAGGACGGGCCGGGCGCTGCCAGCGGGATGCAGCAGCGGTCCCATCCGGTCTGATCCCTGCAGTGAGGGCAGGAGCTCCCCCAGATACTGGAAACCTCCCACCCTGTGACCAAAGCAGCATTAACTCCTGCTGTGCCAGGTCCACCTGCACCCATTCATTTCTATTTGTTTTTATTCGTTTTTATTTTTCCTTCACCTCAGCTAAAGCTCTTTTAAGCATCCAGTAATATCTCCAGTATGTGGTTTTTGCACCCTGTGGCTCCAAACATTTTCAGGGAGGATTTGGAGGGGGCACGGGTGGGAAGCACCGTTATGAAGTTCTTCAAGTGATGCCGGAAAGGCCAGGGCAGCACTACAAAGGTGCTAAGCACCAAGGTGCCGAGAACAGAAGTACCGTTCTTTAAGAAATTTCTTTAAGGGTGTGGGGCTTTTTTTTTGTGTGTGTTTCCTGTTGGTAGCAGTTGCAATAGGAATTATGCTCTGAAAGTACAGTGTAGGTTTGATCCTATTGACCAGAAGCAATTATACTTTCCCTCTAGGTGGCCCATTAGTGTTGTCTGAATTGGTGAGTTTTATCCTCTTCTTTTTAATCTTAGTTATTTATTACTTTCATTATGCTAGTGCCCAGAGAGCTCAGCTGTGATCAGCCCGTATTTATCCTGTTTATGGAGAGGCAAAGGACTGGCTCTTGCTTGGAGGAGCTTAGCATTGCATTTGCATCTAGGTGAATTTCTGTATTTTTTGCAACTGTTGAAACTAAGCCAAGATTTTAGGGATCAACAAGCTATTAAAGCTTCAAGGAGAAAGCGCCATTGGGTATAGCCAGCTGTACTACAGGTTTAACTGCTGGAAAAGCCTCGTGTTCTGCCATGACAAATAGCACACGTAGTTGTGTGGTTGCATGCTCGGAGCAGTCTGTGTTTTGCCTGCATTTCCAGCACACACACAGCTCTAGTACCTGCCAGTGCAAGCCACTTGCAAGAGAAGCTGATAACCCGGCCAGCACAGCCAGTCTATCAAAAACGCAGCTTGCTCTTCACCACAAGAGGTTCGTGGAGGACGTGGAGGAGTGGAGGCCTTGGCTCGGTGAGGTTTGTGCAGTACCAGAGGAGAGGAATTCCTGCTCGCCCCTGGGTACCAATTTTTTGTTCTAGTATTTTAAGGAAAGTGAAAAATATTTTAACGAAAATGAAAATTGAAGAAGAAAGAAGTTAAGATCATGTCTATTGAACTGCAAGTAGCACATAATTTTCTCGTGATGCACAGTCCAGACTGATTTGGAGTTGTGTGTAAAAGCTGTGTTCATCAGGTTACATACATCCAAATCTTTCTAATAAGTTCTGCTCTCGTGGCTGCAGTGAAGGTCAGTAGTCAGGGAAGCACTTGCTGCTTTTTATGAGATTTTTGTTACTAATGGGAAGCTATAATGGGCAAAACACACTTCACAGCTCTGGGAGGCCGACTGTGTGAGCGTGCGTTGCTGAGAGGCGAGTGCCAAAAGCCATGGCACGAGGCCATCAGCCGCCCGTGTGGAAACCTGGCTGCTGGCAACGAGGCCTGAACCGTGTGGCAGTTCCCGCACAGACCTGTGCATCTTTGGTTACACACATTTATTTGGAAGGCTTTCCATATTTTCCACTGGGGAGAGCGGTGCTGCAGCCAACCCGCGTGCTGCTCTCGCGCCCTCCGTTAGCCTCACCGCGCTGCTACGGATGCAGCAGCCCTCCCTTTCCTGACTGCACTTCCCTTCGGGCAGAGTAGGAACTTGCTTGGGGTGGGCAGTTGTCATTGTAGCCCTGTTTAGAACATTCGGATCCAATGTTATTTATTATGGTTTCTTAAGCACAATCATTCAGCCGCCAGGTAAAATCTGCTCTGACCCCAGTCGTCCCCTGTTCGGTGCTCGCACGGTGCTGCCGAGCGGATGCTGCTGTGAGCGCCAGGAAGAAACGCCGTCATTTTCGTTTGCATTTTATCTCCGGTGCGTGCTGAAACCCTACCTTGCCCGCGCGTCGCCCTGAATAGGGTTTCCCAAGGCAGGCGTCTCGCATCCGCCCCGGCCGTGGGAGGAGCCGGCGCCAGCTTTGCCATAGCTACTCGAGGACTCGGCAGGCTGTGGCGCGGGGGCAGCAGCCTGCGGACCCACGCGGTAAGGCGGGCAGCTTCCTCCTCCTCCTCCTCCTCCTCGTCCCCTCTGCTCCCTGTTCCTTGGGGGGTTCCTCGCGTGCGGGAGAGCTGCCCGTGTCTTGTGCAGCCCTGCGCTGTGCGGACAGACCTTGCTGCGTTGTTAGCTCCTTGGAGAGAAGGAGCGAGTACCTTTTGGAAGATAAATCTGCTTTAACAAATGCAGTAGGTCAGGCTGGTTTTTTTCCTCCTTTGATCACTGGGGCTTTATTTTCCTCAAAAAGGCTGGTGAAGTAGTTGTGAGGTTTGGGTCGACTCTTTAAAAAACTTCCTGTTTTCAAGTAAAACCTTAATTCTGATTTTTATCTGTGTTGCATATGCTGTACCTAAGTGTCATCTAGCAAGTGAGTTTAATATCCTCATTACAAGAAGAGCTTGAAATGAGTGTAAAATAAATTGTTAATTTTCTTTTAAGAGCTAGCAATCCCACAACACTGCGTGGATGTTATGAGGTCTAGCCCAGAGATGCTTACGTAGTTCTTGCCCTCCCTGAAGTTCCTTACCTGCTAGGATATAAACCCTGAATCGTTGCAAGGGTTCCTGAAGTTGCTGCAAGCTTGTGATTAAATCCTGTGGTGGGTTGAGCATCATCGGTCTTGTTGGTGTCAGAGTGAAGGGCTGTGAACCCCTCCGAGGGCTTTTCACATGAGATTGAGCTGCTATTTTTCTAATCTCTTAAAGAAATCTTTCTCGGCATGTTCAGTAGGTCACTATGAATAATGTGCTTTTCCGTTTGGCAGCTAGGCCGGAAAACTGGGGGGAAAGGGGAGGAGAGAGAAAGACAGGAACTAATTACGTTCAGGGATCAGGAAGAAGCTAACACTTTAGTTTCTAACCAAATCATAAATAAATAAATAAATAAAGCACATTATTTTGATGGCAGCCATCCCTTTTAGCCCTAGGGCTTCTCACCGTGCGCGTGTAAGGAACGCGAGGGGTGCGGAGGGCTGGATGTGCGAGGCTGAGCAGGCAGGAAGGGCATCCTGGCTTTGGCCCAAGGCTTAAGGAAGATGCCCTGGAGGCAAAGTAAGGGCACAGCGATACCCTTCTCTGGGTTTGGGAGGCCTCGTGTTATCTCCCAATGATACCTTCGCTTTTGGCAGCTTCTGGGCCCAGATCTGGCATTTTCCGAGCTCTCTGATAAGCCCCAGATGGGGCTCATGGCGTGTGTGCCACCCATGAGGTGTGTGGAGCCAGGCTGCTCTCCCCACCACGCTCGTCGCTTCCTATCTATCCGCCTTGCAGCCCTCCTGCACCCGCCTGCTGCTGCTGCCCTGTTGCAATGGCCTTGGCAGAACAGGCAGCGCCTGCACCAAAGCCCAGCTCCTCTCACCTGCGAGGGGCGAATCCTGGTGAGCTTCTTGGCCTTGGTCTGTTCCTGTTCAGGCAAAATTCCCACTGTTTTCCTTGTCTGCAGGAAGGCGGATGGCTCCGCGCCCCTTTGTACCCATCCTTGCAGTAAGGAGGGCTGGTGAATCACTTCCCTTTCTAGCTTTTAGTAAAATTGTAGTGTTTGGCGCTCATTTATAGTGTTTGGACACTTTGAATACTTGCACCGTTCTCTTCGTTCTTTTCCTGCAATTGTCCAAAGGTTGGAATTTCTTTTTATCTGTCCCAGCATTTCCTATTGCTTGATCTGAAGTGCTGCAGTAGCTTTGGCGCTGTCAGTGCAGCTGTTATTTTCCCTTGTTTGCTAGTCTGACCTTTCATGTTGGTTGTACATTGGTCTCTGTGTTTCTTAAACATGACTGTGTACTCCTATCAGGAAGAATGATCTTTTAAAAAAGACACCAAAGGCAGAACTTCTTGCACCTTCAGACCTTGGAAGGTTTTGTTCAGCCGAAAATAAAGCAGGGGTGATATTAAAAATTGTGGTTCAAGTTCAGAGTTTTGAATCGCTTTGTGTGCTTAGCTGCCTGAGGAGGAGATAGGCATGTCAGGAGAAAATGTGCATTGCTCTCTATTGATGGAGCTGGATACATCCTTGGAAGCCCCACTTTTCATTTAAATATTGGCTGCAGTGAAAGTAATTCTGTTCAGCAAGTGGAGGCTGACCTGACAACAACAACAAAAAGTCTAGAAGGGGGATGGAAAGAAATGGGTTTTCACTATTCATGTTTTAGCCTATCCAATAAGGTAAAAAATGCCACTATGTAAGTCCAAGGAGCAAAGGACAAAACACCCTGTCGACTTGCTTATGGGTGCCAGTAACTTTTCAAACAAAACAAAAAGGCAGCGAGGAAAAAAAGGGAAACAGGGCACTGAAAGGGGCGAAGATGCCAGGGGGTTTTAGGTGCAATATATAATAAACAGGGACATGTTTTCATCTGAGCAGTGTTTGCCTTTAGCATGGAGTGGCATAACTAGGAGTGAAGGAGTTTTCCCAAAGCTCCTTTCTTTGCTGAGATTGATTCAGATCTGCCCTGCTGTTATCACTGGTGTTCACATTGGGGTTTTTTTTTTTTTTTCTCTCTTTGTTGGCCTCTTTTCCTTCCGTGCTTTTAAAGCGCAGCTTATCTGCGTGTGCCGGAAGGGTGCGACTCAGAGATCCCCGGCTTTCGGCGCGAGCAGAAGCCCGACCTGCTCATTGGAGGGAAATATGCTGGGATTTTCAGCTGCAAGAGCCTCGCTGTCCTTGCAGAAGGCAGCGCCGGCCTCCTGAGATGCCCGTGGCTGGGGTTCTGCCGGCCCTTGGAGCTTCCCTTCTCCCTGCTGACTGGCAAGTATATTGACAAAATTTAGAGGAGAATTATTTTGTATTTCAGTGTTCTTCCTCTCTGCTGTTCTACTCTGGGAAGGGTAAAAATCTGGATCACGAAGGTGGTTTTGGATATATCAGGTACATGTCTTTAGCGACTGGAGCTTGAGTCTTCATCTGAGCTCCACCATGATGTGTGTGACCTTGGTCAAGCCACAGGCCTTTCCCTATTTACCAGCCTCATTTATATGAAATATGTATGCATGCTTACTGCATGGGATTATGGAAAAGCTTGTAAAAGATGACATTCTTTGTGAGTCTTAAATTTAGTACATTGCTTGGGTTACTGAGCTGCGTAGCTCAGTCATAGCTAAAGGAGATGGAAAGCGCTGGTTTGTCTTTATTCATTCGTGTTTGTGCTCTTTGCCAGGCGCCTTTGCAATGGATGACAGAGCAGACTCTTTGCTGATGACCGTTCATCTTCTTGCCAACTCGGGGCGTTCATCACTTCTGCAGCAAACGCTGGATCGGCTGCTGGAGTGGATCTGCCCGGACATTCGCCTCTTCCTTGTGTCTGAGCGTGCTACTCCATTGAAACATTATGAGAGTTATCGTAAGAGATGCTGTGGCTTCCCTGGAATGTCCGTCCTCCTTTTCCTACACGAGGACTTGGGAGCAGAGCGGATTTTCCAGGTCCACGACATCTTCCAGCACCCGCCGTGGCGCTACCAGTGCACGCAAGTCGCCCCTGGGCAGAGCCGCCCCTGCGGCGCCGCTCGCCAGGACTTCTACGGCCTGGACGAGCACATGCCCGTGTGGGGCATCCGCCAGGTGCACTGCGGCTCCGAGATCGTGCGCGTGACCCTCTACTGCAGCTTTGATAACTACGACGACGCGGTGCGACTCTACGAGATGATCCTGCGGCAAGAGGCAGCCCTGCAGAAGAGCAACTTGTGCGTGTTCGTGCTGCACGCGGCGGCCGGCGTCGCGGTGCAGCTCTGCCTGAAGCAGCTGCCCGCCGGCGTGGCCGTGCAGCCCAAGGAATCGTCCGTCCTGCAGTTCAAGGTGCAGGAAATTGGGCAGCTGGTGCCTCTCCTGCCTCATCCTTGTATTCCCATCAGTAGCACCAGGTGGCAGACACAGGATTATGAAGGAAACAGAATTCTGCTTCAGGTATGTGTGCGTCGCACTGTTGAGAGGGGATTTTTTTCCAGGAGGGACCAGGAGTGGTTCAGAACGGAAATTAAGATTTTTGCGTGTTTGTATTTTCTTTTAAATTTATGACTGAAGCAATCAATATCTGCTTGTGCTGCAATGCCATTGATGAATATAAGCACAAATACTAGCAATATTTAATGTTAATTTAACACCATGGCTGCTTGCCCAAAATTGAAAATATTGATCCTTTTTTGGGGCAGGCTAGTTTAATGTCTTGCCTTCCCTGCTTGCATCAAGCAGTCGTGACAGCCTATTCTTTGTTCCAAGGTAACAACTTATCAGAAAGGGTTTCGAAAGCATATTTTTACATCCAAAGCTGGTCATTTTGTACGTATAGTGTTGGTGCAGTATTGTCTACATTTGATTGAACTTTATTTGAAATATCATCTTAAAATTAAATAATAACTAGTCAGAGCTATTCAGTTAGACCTATTTCAATGATTTCTGAATAGTATTTTGAAACTTGGAATCCCAGTTAGCATTTTTCTCATACACCTTTTTTTTGTTGTAACTTGGATATTTAAATAATTTGCCCATCCTGTGGTGTATTTTCTGTGGAATATTTAACTGTATTACCAGTTTCTGTAAGCTTGCTGACCTAGCTAAACCCAAGGGTCTGTCTGTGGACTTCCATCCACAGTGAATTGTCATTTTGCCTGGCCTACAAGGATCTTTTTTCCTTGTTGCTCTCCTCGTTTATGTTATCTTCTACTAGGACTTTCTGTGTTACGCTGCTAGTGATCTCGGCACATTAAAGCTAGGTGAGAACATTGTCTCTTGACTAAAGCCAAATCACTCTTTTAATGGAATCTTTTCAAACTTTCTTCCATAGGTTCAAGGCAACTCCAAGTACAGCGAGAAGAATGGTGGCTTTTCCAACCAGCAGAGTAATTCCGGCCCCGAGAGCCTCCTGCGTCACCCCGTCCCGGTGCCCTGGCCCGCGGAGCGGAGGAGCCGGGCGCTCGGGGCCGTGCGGGGAGCGGCGCCGCGGTGTCCGCTCCCCGCTCAGCCACTTCCACGGGGCTCTGCGGAGCAGCCTCCTCCAGCCGCGAGCTCCCGGCCGGGCCCCGGCCGCTGGCCCCGGCGTCGCCTCGTCCTGCCGGGACAGAGCCCATCTGTCCCCTTCCGCAGCCCAGAGGGACAGGGGAGCTGCCCAGAGAGCTTCGGGCCTTTGCTTGCAAATATCGAGAGCCAGCCCTGGAAACCGAAATGAGGAGGAGGAGGAGGAGGAGGAATTCTTTATATGACTGGAAACAAATGTGCCAGATGGACTGATTGCTTCCAAGTGAGAGCTAAGTGCTTTAATCTGCAAACACAGAGAAGGCAACTGACATATTGTGCCACTTTGTGCTGTGACCACTGATGCTTAACTTGCCTTTGTAACTGTGAAAAAATGTCAGGAGAGGGTTTACTGAGTTTGAGATACATTTACTTTCCATGGAGGAATACTAACGAGGCTGAAGTCAAAGCAAAGAAAAATAGCACTATTTACAAAAAGATTTTTTTTTCAATGCAGTGTAGATTGGAGGATTATTGTGCAATGAATAGGAATAAGCCATACAAATCCCACTGCTGCTATAAAATGTTAAGAAATGACCTGTAATGTGCTGAGATAATGTTAGAGTTCCTGGCTCCGCAGCCACCAGGCAGCAGCAGCCGCTGCAGGGGCCTGTCCTCTGCTGCGGGAGAGCAGCCCCGCGGTCGTGGCATGGCCGCGACGCCTGCATCCATCCCCATTCCTTCTTCGTCCCCTATTATTGGTATTTAAAAGCCATCAAAGTTGTCATTTTTATGCATGAATTGAAACAATTATTTCTGAAGAAAATATTTCTCCATTGGCCTTTTCCAAATTAGCATTGTACACAGCAACTAGAAACACTGGAGCTATGTTTGTGCTTCAGTAAGACCTTTCCATTGACAGGCCTTACGGTACCTAACAAATAAAACCATGAACAGGCGAGTCCTTGTTAGACCAGGGTGCAATTATCAGCAGGATGATGGAAATCCTAATTGGATTTTATAGAACAGAAGACAAGAGAACTTCGAGTGTGGGAGAGAAGTGCCAGAATACTGAAGGGTAAAATGGACAGGACAGGACAGGAAAAGGAACTGGAGTTTTGCTGGATCAACAGTTTTGTTTTTCTCGGGTAGGATTAACTATATCTTTAAGGGAAAGGGCCAGAAAGGACATGGATGAGGGATGGAATTTTGAAATTAAAAGCAAAGTCTGATCATTGTATCTACCTTCCCCCAAAACCAGAAATAAAAAGGTAGTTTCTCCTTAGATATACGTGAATTCTGCTTCACCCGAAGATGTGAATTTCTTTGGAAAGTGCCTCCTCGTTGCTTCCTGTTAGCTCGTAACAGGTTTGCTTTGGGGTGGCCTCTGCCCATCCAAGACAGGCAGAGATGATGAGGAGCAGAGATGTGCAGCGTAGAGCTCTCCTGCAGCTCCCTTCTGCATAATTCCAGTGGGGACCAGCACTTGAATGCACCAGCTGAGCACAACCCAACTTAATTCCCTGGAAAAGTGCAAACTGAAACTCTTCATCGCATTTTCCTGTGTTCTGTAAAGTTTTGAGCTTTTGAATAAAGTGCAGAGTGATACGTTACCTCTTTGACTGTGGTTAATCTTACCTGGCATGCTGGAAACTTATCCAGGGCTTTCCAGAGCAAAATATTTGGTCAGCTCTGGAAAGCAGTAGAGAGGAGACTGTGCAGACCGGGGCCGGCTGCGGCAGGCGCTGGGGCGCGTGTGGGAGCAGGTGCCGATTGCTCAAATTTGAGTCCGTTCAGCATGTTCCCTTTTATCGAAGGAAAAGAGGCCACTTAAGACTCTTAGGTACCAGATCAGTATCCAGCAGGGAGAAAGCACTGAATAATTTAGAGATGGGGAAAATAAGTGACGATGTGAGGTTTAGCTGCCTGCCTACATGAATTCTTTGGTCTTCTAGGATATTAAGTCAAAGCAAAACTGCATCAAAACTGTGTTTGTAGCAGTGAATATATAATCATTTATTTAAAGGACGTGATATACCTTGTAAAAACACAGTGCTGTGCATGCATCTGTAGGGGCAAAAGGGCCCCGCTTCTCCACTCCCCAGGATGGATTCAGTAACTATGATTGATACTTTTTCTAGACCATCCATATCTCTGCAACCTTTACGTTTCTTTAATTGCTGTGCAATTTTCTTTCAGGTTTTTAAAAAGACTAGTAGGAGACAACACGGTCTTATATCCATATTTAATGGTATTACACTGAATAATTGAAGCCCCTCTTGCACAAGCTGTGGAGCCTGCTGCATTTTGGCATGTGGCAGGAGCCGTGGCGCTTCCCAGGAGTGGGTCTGCACTTCCCCAGCGTCGGCACGGCCTCGTGTTCCCGTCTGCAGTTCCCTGAGGTAGCCAAGAAAACCTTCACCGGTGTCGGAATTGCTTTGGGCTTTTTGTCCAAGGAGGTGACGTGTCCGGGCGCAAGGTAGAGCAGCCTGGTGCAGACGTGCCCAGGACATGAATAGTGCCCATGCGAGGGGGAATGACTGGCAAAACGGTGGGGCTAAGAGTGCAGCCTGGCTGTGGATCGTGCGGGCCAGCAGGTCCCAGGGGACGTGGTGCTGCGAGCAACAGCCGTCCCGGCAGCCGCGTCCGGCCTCGCCGCAGGTGGGAGTGCACTGGCCTCCCAGCCTCCTCTGGGCACGTCAGCGTGTGTGGAGGACCTGAGCGGAGCGTTTTGGTCTCTAGGGGAGAACAGTGCAAGGCTAAATTCAGGAGCTCTAAGCAGAAAAGAACATTGCAAATATGGCGAATATTTATTTCTGTTTAAAAGAACAGCAACAACAAAAAAAACCCACTGCAGAACCAAGGACAACAGCAGAGAGCAGTGCTGCCTCCAAGGGGAAAATATCAGGATGTAGAGTGTTCAGTTGTGGGGAGTGGGGCTGGAAAGGGCGTGCCAAAGGAAATGTAGCACTATAGCCAGGCTCGTGATAGCACCATCTTGGCTGCTGAGGCGATACTAGGCCTGGTGACCTCAGGCTTTAGGGCTAGGGTTAGGGCTAAGAGAGAGAGCTAGCCTAGAGCCCCATGGGGAGTGGGGTTAGAATGGCCGTGCCAAAGGATACTTGGTACAAACTGAAACCTGGGAAATTTCTTCTGCATATTAGAAATAACTTCTTTACTGTTAGTGTGACAGCACTGGAAGAGGCTGCATCAAGAGGTTTTGGGCTCTCCTTTATAGATCTTCAGACCTGCCCGGATGTGATCCTGTGTTACATTCTCTAGATGTCCTTGCTTGAGCAGGGAGTTGGAGTAGGTGATATCTAGAGGTCCCTTCCAATCTCAACCATTCTATGATAAATATGTATTAATAGTTGTTTTTAATATGTAGTGTGTTTTATATTTTGTGTCATATAATACACATTTTTATATATCGTGTAACATGCACTATATATAAACTCTAAGCTTTATATGTGTATATATATATATATATTTGTCTATATTTCTATAGAATTTATGTAGCATTCCATTTATATTTGGTATTATCTGTTCTCCTTCAGTCCACCTGTGCAGCAAACTGTCCCCTGCACTTCCCGCGATGCTGTGAGCTGTGCTGCCAGCCGTGCTCTCCAGCTGTGTATGACCCCATCCGTGCCCTGCGCAGTGGCAGCTCTGGTACGGGCGACGGCGGGGGGGAA